TGAACACAAACATGCTATATCTGTAAGGTGTGGAGTGAGACTTGGTAGTACTCGTTTCCCTTTTTTACATCCACAATTTTTCTTGGCAGAGGATGTGACATTGTTACACAATGTATAACTGACTGCTGAGATCCATTCGTAGAGATCTTATTTTGATGACCCAGCAGTCGTGACTTCTGAAAAAGTAGAGTTTGCAGGAAAGTGAGTACATGGTATTTGTCATCTGTGTGTGGTTGACAACTACATTTGTGGTATTTCAGCACTGGCATCAACAGAGGTCAGAAAGGTCAGCAAGCATTTTAGAGCAAAAATCAACAAAAAACATACTCTGCAGATTTTATGATAAGAATTTAATAAAGTATCTTATGTATCTCAGTTCTGCAATTCGACAAAAATGCTTACTCTTCCTCGTGGGACACGCTCTCTACAGGTAAGAGCAGAAGGCCCTTTCATATGATGTCCAGACCACCTGAACTGAATCCGAATCTTTTCGATGTGAAACAGCAGTGGTTCTACTTTGAGCTCCTCCCAGAGAAATCTTATTTTTAAAGCTGAATCGAGTCACTCTGTGGAAGAAGATAATTTCAGTAGTTTTCATCCAGAATCTTGTATGTATTTGGAACCCCAAATTTACCAAACCAGACAAGCTTCATGTCAAGACCACGAGCACAGCAAACAGTGCAGTTGACAAGCTTGCAGAGTCCATCACAAAATATTTCGGCTTGCATAGTAGTAGGCGTTCTCCACATCTAGAAAGTACAAGGAAAAAAACAACAAAACTCATCAGGGTAAAGAGCTGCTCTACTTTCTATGCCAAATTGGAACATACTCTCCAAGCCCCCTACTTAAAAAGAGGACTGCAACTGTGATCTGCCACTCCATACACTAGGTGGTGTTCCAATTCTTCATTTGACGTCAAAGAGACTTATCAGCCATGACAACACTGGCAATAATACCTGAAATTAAAGATCACTTATTAGTGGACGAAAAAATATCTACATCATCTAAATATATGTCCTCTGATCTTTTTGCATCTTCTAGCCAAGGGACTGAAATCCTGAAATAAAAACATTAGTCATGACTCATCTTTCCCCCCTGTACCCAAGCCTTGTATTGTAATTCACCTTATCATCACCTGTGCATAAGCTTTTTATTCAACCCGTTAAATGAGTGTGATTCAGATGCAGCGTCCAGTGAAGGCTGCCCCAAATGGCCCATTCATGCTGCTGTTGCCATGGATTCACAGGCCAAGGAAACTGGCAGACACAGACACTCACAGAGAACCAATGTGTGTCACCTTCGGTCTCTCTACGAGAAAGCTGCACTAGCTTCCTTTGGCAGGTTTTAATTTCAAGTTTAATAAAAACGAGAGGTGCAGTTGAAGTTTTATAGTCTCTGTCCTTAAGGTCAATGTGTAGCCAGGCTTAGATCTGATAGATGGGCAGCAAATCCTGTGAATTATATCCAGTAGTAACTATACAGACTTTTGGCTGCCACAGTACTCCACTGTGCTTTGGCCAGGATTAAAGCACAGATGGGAGCTCTGCATCTTCCTTTGGCTGAGAGGATACCACCAAGGATGACTGAGTGGGACTGACACTTGGATCCTGAGCCAAGAATGAAAAAAGCCCTAATGGGTCCTCTGTTCTCTGTTTTATCCCCTTACTCTCTCTTTTTCACATCCATTTGTTCCCTGTTAAGAAGGTTCAGATTAAGCAAAAAGGCCAACCTTTTTTTCCAGTTCTTTTTTGTCTGTCATCTTACAGATTCAAGTTAATTGGGGAAGATCTATCATCTCTTCCATTGTGCAAATGTTAGAAACATATTGCAATACTGTATAGAGTCACCACAAGTCACTCTACACTTCTTTATATTGTATTTTTCATTGAGCCGGACTTACTGGTAGTATTTTAAAATTGTTGTGATTAGTTCTCTTGGCTTTTGGACTGGATTTGGAAGGTTGACAGCTTTTCCACTGACCTTAATTAGAGGAATGTTGATTATTTAGTCATTAAAGTTGTCTGTAAATCTACACATTCACCCTGATACTTTTTCACTTTTGTCATTTTTGTTAAGTACACACTAGCCTACATGCTGTAATTGCCAGGTACAATGACCTAGCTAAGTGAAAAAGCATGCTCCAGTGTTGTGAGGGGGGAGTGTGTTGGGGAGCATGGCCCTCTTTTGTTCCTGGGAGCTTGTGCCATGTTGAAGCATAGGTGGTTCCTGGCTTGAGGCCTGTGGCTATTGGGCATGTTAAGAGTTGGCTGTGAGCTGGAACGGTGAGGTTACTGGTCTGTAGACCTCCCTGGGGCTGGCCGATCATGTAGGATGGCACGGTGACTTTCCTTCCTTGATCTCTCTGAGTACTGGCTGTTGTGGACTGCCAGAGACGGTTATGGGGGATTTAGTACCCAGTGTTTCTCTCTGTGCCTCACAGGCCTGGGGGTGTGCTTTGCTGCCCACTTGCCTCTATGTCATATGGCTACTCTGTAGGGTGGTAGTCTGGTGTCTGTCTACCTGGGGTTGCTGCTGACTACTTTGATTCCAGATACAGTCGTGATTAAGAATAAAGTCAACTAAGCATTAGAAGACATTCTTTGGATATCTTAGTGCAAAACTGCACTACCACATGTGGGCAATAAGCTTCTCCATATGATTTGCCATGGCTGGACAAATAAACAAAACTTGCTCTAGCTTAGTGTTGACACTCAACAGAGACAGTATCTGTATGCACATTGAGTCAGAGACTTTTAGACTACCGTCTCGTGACAAGATGGGTAGTAAAGGACTCACTTTTGTCCAATAAAACCTCAAGGACAGACTGAAATTCTGCAGAGTTCAAGGATGAGCAGCAGAAGACTGATCTCTGATAAATCCTCCCTTTTACTGTAGATTACACTTTGATTCTTGCATTCTACCAACACTGAAGCACCTGCCTGCAATGCACGTCTGGGGTGCCCAGAAACAATACCATGAAGAAGTACTGGGACCAAAATGTCCTCAAATATCAGTTTTTCAATTCACGTGGTTATAATGTGTATTTTGAAGCATGATGGAACGCTGTGTCACCAGGGAAAAGCGCAAAGGCGATGTCTCAAGAAAAAACACAGGGTCATCTCTTTAAAAGCAGATGGAGACAGAAGCCAAGAAATAACTCACACCAATAAGATAAGAATGGATGGGGTTACAAATAAAAGTCTTTAAATCTTATGTAACATTTTTATTATTCTTCTGTATAGAAACATGGTAACATCAAAATGATCAAGTCTAAAACACTCAACACTTTTGTCATTGCCAAAACATATTGATGATAGCCAAATGTTCAACTCAATCTTTTTGAACTTCCGGTATTTCTCCTATATTTGTACCATTCCTCTTCAGTCATATGCAGCCCAATATAGCTTAACCTTTGAATCCTGGTTGAAGGGAAGTTACTAATTGACTATGTGTATGTGGCCCTGTTCAACTCTGAAGCATACAGAAGTACAGTTTGACAGAGGGGATTAATGTCAGAGTTGAGAAGGTCCAATATAAACATGGAATTTTGATGTAAAATCTGAAACTAGTCAATCTTAAACTACCGAGGAACAGAAACAGGCTCGAAAATCATTAGCATGTGGCTACAGCTGCATATTCAGGCTAAATGAATATTTTATGTGTTAGCAGCTTGCCTTTAATAAACATACACTTTAGCCAAGAAATAGAAAACATAGTTTAATCAACTTCAAATATATTCAAGTAATTTATACAGAGAGAAACGCAATCGTGTCACCGATGACCAGACTTAGTTTGGAGTTTGGTGCCATCTTGTGGCGGGATGAATTAATCAACCTTAAATGAAGAATTTTCAACAAAAATACTAACTTCTAATTCTACAGTATAAAGTACACTTCCCAATTTAAATTAGACCATATCATTGTCTGTACTGTGCTGTTGACCATCAAAGATCCATCTCTGTGAACTTGTAACTTTTATTACTATTTTTAAAGACAATGATTTTTATATAAAATGCTCTGCCATGTGAAATAATTTGGTCAAGTTTTACAAAAGTGATATAGTCACAAATGATGTTTTTCATAAAAATAAAAAAAACTTTACTGTATCAATATTCAATTCAAATAAATTCAGTTTAAGTTAATTTTTTTATACATCTTCATAAACTCTTGAACAAAAAAATTAGGAATTTAGTCTTTTAAAGATATTTTTACAGCTTATATTTATACATTCATTAACATTTGGCTTAGTATCCCTTTGCAAGCTACAGAGAAAACACGTTTTCTTTACTTTTCTTTTTGTAGCCATTCACGTTTTCTTTCGCTGTGGCTTCTGTTGGTTACATGTTTGATTGTCTGATCAGCAAAAGAATGAATCCACTAGGAAACAACTAATGCTCAGTGAAATGAGGAGGCTGCTTGTGCCAGCTGTAACCCTCTTTCACAAAGAATGTGTTTTCTTTGACCTCAAAATGTTCCAGGGAAAGTTTGATGTTTCTGGGCCAAGTTTTGTCCCACTTAAGCTGATAATAAACCAACATATTGTTTATTGTTTTCTTTCTGTGTCAGGATCTTTTTTCACGCTTCAACGGTTCTAGGCTTACGTTGCGTTTTATCCTTCTCCCGTCTCGACGCAAAAATTAGATTCGAGACAGTTTAGATCATTTCCTGTATATATCTTGACGCAAAACTGGAAGCAGATACTACAATCCACTTTTTTTGTAATTTAATCCTAGACTAAATTGAACAGTTCCGGGCCTATTCAAGGCCTCAGATGTTTGCTAGAGAACGTTTGTGAAAAATCAACATCATGAAGGCAGCAGACAGGCCCTGACCCTGACAGCCACTCTGGGTTGTAATTCTGTAACTGCGGCAGAACAATGATCTGTAACTTTCCCTGAAGCGTCCGGTGCGTTTTGTCTACAGAACAATGTGACACTGACATGTGTGCTCAAAACGTCCCAGTCTGATTAAACAGTAACCCTCAGAGGGAGGAGTCTCTGCACATACAACCACAAAGATCCATCTCCCGGTGAGGGTTTGCTGACCTGACGTGACAGAAGCACAGCATGAGCTCAGGTGAAGGTAAGGTGTGAGTTTATTTGGTTTTCTTACAAGCTTGTCTTGTGGCTTTACTGTATCAATAATTCCATTCATGTCTATCCGGTTTGTTAATTTTCTTTTTCAGACCCTCCTTTATGTTCACCAGGCAGCGTTCTTTTTGCTCGTTTTCCCACTATTCTGATTGTGCTGCACAGGAATAATGCCTTGAAAAAGAACATAGTTTCACTTGATTGACTGATTACATTCACAGTTGCCGAAAAAATATTTTTACATGTTGCTAATAGGACTTTTTTTTGTTTTTTTTGTTGTTTTTTTTTTGTTGTTGTTTTTTAAGTGATACCTATTTAAAGCACAAACTCCCCAGCTGTGCACATTATTAGCTATCATTGTATTTGGGCTTCCCCCTTACATAAGGATTGAAAAGGAGGTTTATGAGAGGAAAAGCAAACAGTGACCCATTAGCTGTCCAGAGGTGCCTGAGGGGAGTGACACTGATCTGCTGAAAGAGCCAAACATTGTTTAGCATTCAAAACTCTTAGCTCTGTCAGGAAGGCAGAAATTTTGTTTCAACACCATGTTGGACTGATAGATAAGGCCACAGTGACAGCTCAGTGTGACACTGCTGGCATTTTCATATCATCTCCTTTCATCTGGAAGACAAATACAAATGTCTTCAGCACCTCGCAACAGTATTTGAACCAACTGTTACCAATTTTGTCACAATGCAGTAACAAGCTTTAATGCTCTTTACGGGAATTTTTATGTGACAAACAAAACAACCGAAAAACATGGTGGATTACCTAAGATTAATATACAGTACTTCTAGTCTGGATACCCCTAAATTGAATCTCAGGCAATCAACTGTCTTAAAAAGTCAATTAATTAGTGAATGTGAGTAGTTTCATCTCAGTGTAAATTCCAGTTATTCTATGAAAGCCTCAAAAGGATCAAGGAGCAACTGTAAAATGTCAAAAGAGCAACCCAAGTCTGGATGACACAGCATACACGTTCTGTATGTTCTGTTCAGAAACGATTTTCAAATATTTTGGCCAACATGCAAAACTTTGTGTGTGGTGGGAAAATAACGCCGTACATTCCCTGAACATATCGTCCTCATCACAAAACAAACAGCTTGGTCCAGAACGCTGCTGCTCGCGTTCTCATTAAAATTGGGCAGATAAAGAGCATCATTCCTTTCAAAATCCTGGCTCCCTGTAGCTCAGAGGATAGATTTTAAAATACTGTTGTTAGTTTATACATAGCTGAATGGTTTAGCACCACTATACAGCAAATATGTTCTGTTGTTGTATCAACCCTCCAGACCACTCAGGTCTTCTGGGTCTGGTCTGCTCTGCATCCCTTAAACCAGAACCAAATGTGGAGAAGCAGCTTCTATGCAGCACAAATCTGGAATAAACTTCCAGAAAACTGCATAACAGCAGAAATACAGAATTCCTTTAAATCAAGGCACCCACCTTTTGAACCACAATAATTTGAACATTGACTAACATATTTGATGTGTACAATTCTGATGGTGGTACTTGTCAAAATGTAAGGTTTATTTGGTTGCATGTTGTTTTTATGACTTTTTATTCTTGTGTTTTATGATCTAAAGTACTTTGAACTGTCTCGTTACTGAAGTGTGCTACCCAATTAAACTTGACTGACTAGCTGATAAAGCCTTATTCCAAATTATATTAAAAGAATCTTTTCATTAAGATTCTACACACAAGTACTCCATTGTGTGACAATGTGGAGCAAAGTTTTTGAAGTTTTTTGCAAATTTATTAAAAAGAGAAAACTAATATTAGGTTGAAGAAATGCACCACTCCTGGTGAAAAACGTCCAATCAGATCCAGGAGGAGGGTTTTAGCGCTGTCAATCAATGTTGCTCAATGTGTTAATGGCGGAGAAGCAACTTACCGTTCCAGGAAAACGGTCATCATCGATGGCCATGCTACCTAGCCTTAGCATTCATAACAACATATGTTGTGTTGAACCAGCTGTAACGCTGCATGGAGCTAGGGGAGACAGTGAGCACTGAAGTGATTGGCAGCGCTAAGACCTTCCCCCTGGCTCTGATTGGTTGTTTCTGACTGAGTGGTGTAGTCTGCAATTAATAATGGGAGCACTGAGAGAAGGCAGAGAAGCTTGCTTTTTCACAGATTATCTGACTTACTCTCATGAAATGATGATAATTTTAATAAGTACATATATATATATATATATATATATATATATATATATATATATATATATATATATATATATATATATATATATATATATAAAAGCATCTTTTATAAGTTATATACTGCAGCTTTAATCTAATTGATAATCTGCAGGAAGACTTTGAAATCGATGCTCACAGATGGTCTCTGTGTAATCTGACTGAACTTGAGCTGTTTTGCAAAGACTGGGGGGGGGGGGGGGGGGTTGAAAATAGAGCTATGCAGGGACATATCCAGAAAGACTTCCATCTGTAACTGGGTGGAATTTTTTTTTTTTTTTTTTTTTTTTTTACAAACTCAGGCGGCTGCTGCTGCAAATGCATTTTGCACTTTTCATATTTTAATTTGCATAAAAAGAAAAAAAACCCCATAAAAATCTTGTATCAATTTCCGCTGATTTTAATATTATGCAGTGTCATGTTGGTGTGTCATAGAAAATCCAGATAGCATTCGTAGAAGCTTATGGTTCCACAGTGAAATGACCTTGCTCAGTGCACATTGCCTCAGATGTTGTTAAGCAGAAAACGCCCTGTATGAGCCAGTGCTGACACCTGTCTGAATGAATTAGTTCTGGTGGTGTTTAACCCCACCACCTGGAGAGCATAGCTCCAGTCTAAATCCAGATATTTCCTGGTATATTTTAGGACATTGCTACTCCAACAGAGTATATAATTTGCAATCTCTCCAGGTGTTTAGAAGGGACAAAGACCAAAGATTACGAAATAAAGTCAATCCCAGTTTTATGGAGTTACACTTGTTAGTCAAAGTCACCATGTATGTTGGTGAAAGCTTAGATATGACCAGTCGTGTAAGAATGAGGCTTTGCTATTAGGTAGATATAACCAGAGCCTTATGGTCCAACAGTTACATCAGCATTATCATATCATGGTTGATACGTAATGAGTGTGTGTGTGCGTGTGTATGCGTGTGTGTGTGTGTGTGTGTGTGTGTGTGTGTATGTAGCATTGCAAACTGTTATATTTTGAAAGTGCTGGTTAAAAATTTAAAAGGTAAACTGTATTATGTAAATCCCCTTATCTTTTCATCAGGAGATGTGCTGATAAGGAGTTTTATAATGTGAGTTTCATGCAGCCAAAGTCATTCATCTCATGTGTTCTTTGTTTTTCATGGTGTGCTGGAAGTCGTCATGTTGACAGAGTAAGTCACCTTTCTTGTTTGTTCCATTTGTTATAATATATTCTGAACACTAATTTACTGCCCAGCTCTTATTTAAGATTTATTGGGTTATTATTAATTGAAAGGGAAATGACTTAGTGAGGCAATTTGACTAGTTCTTTTCACAGAATGTAACAACCAGAAAAAGGATTGAACAGAAAGAAGACTTTTTGCATCCTACTACAATATCTGCAAGCAGAGTATTACTTGGTTTAGCATGAACATTTCAGGGTTGCCGTAAACTGGAAGACTTTGACATTTCATCTACATTTCATTCATTCTTGTCCTAAAGAAAATTTACATTTGATCCAAAAGTGGGAATTGATAACCCTGCCATGATCATCACAGACTGCACAGGTATGCAGGTTTTTTTTTTTCAAACTGCTGTAAAGCATACCATAAAGAAGACTTGCCCTTTTAAACTGAACATTTTTTCCTCTTTTAAATCAGACTCTGTGTGGATTCCCAGGCCACGCATGTGTGTTCTTAAAAGAGAAGACGGGGAGAGCTATGGCTTCAACTTGCGGGTGGAAAGAGATCGCCATGGACACGTGATTAGAAACGTGGTGCAAGGGGGCATCGCAGCACGCAGTGGCCTTCGAGATGGAGACAGACTACTAGAGGTCAACAACTGCTACGTTGATGATGTTCCCCACGCTGAGGTAAGACCACGTTCTCCTGAGGACACTCACTCTTTACTTGAGGCAAATCGTACTTTATATCTTGATCTACTAGGTTGCTAGGAAGATTAAGCTTAGTGGACAGCTGTTATGCATGTTGGTGCTGGACGGCGAGGAGTATGAGCAGGCTGTGGCAGGAGGTCAGGACCTCAGATTGTTGTCAAGGACCCTCAACGAAGAACCCTGCAAGCCACCCAGACTCTGCCACATCACCAAGGAGCCTGGCTCAGGTTTAGGTATCAACTTTACTGCCTTGGAAGGTAAGTCATCTCCTGGCAATCACCACCGGTCCAATGTTCAAGATCAGATAGCTGTCATGTTGAGGTTGGCTGATTTGCCTGTGTCTGTAACGAAGGAGAGAAAGGTTGCTTCTCAGTGAACCTGGTGAAAGGTGGAGCGGCTGAAAAGGCCGGAGTCCGCAAGGGAGATCACCTGGTGTGGATGAACGGAGTAATGGTGTCCCACCTTACACACTCTGCCCTCAGTCGAATGGTTTGTGCTATGTGAGATGATGTTTAAATACTGTATAGTAGTATAATTTCAAAATTGATCGTTTCCATTTTGTCATAGATGAAAAAATGCGGAAATAGCATCACAATCCTGGTGATAGACAGTGAGAGTGAGAAGATCTACATGCAGAGGAAGATGCCCATTTTGCCCGCCATGGCTGTGCCCAACAAACTGCCCTTCGGAGCCAGAAAGCTCCGCCTAATCTCTGGGCCAGAAGGATATGGATTTCTTCTCCGGCTGGAGAAGACACCATCGGGAAACACTTGTGAGAGGAAGAAAATGGTGCAAGCTCAAATTTAAGGGAACCTTGCTTGCCTTTCTGAGGTTTAGGTTTGTTTTATTCAACAGATCATGTTCTACGTGAGGTGGACAGCGGCAGTCCAGCAGAGAGGGCAGGTGTGCAGGATGGAGAGATCCTGCTGGAGGTCAATGGAGAGTCAGTGGATTCGCTCAGACACAATGAGATTGTGGAAAGAGTGAGACTAAGTGGAAAGCAGGTCTTCATCACCACAATCAGCCAGTCTGGGTTAGGATTTTACAACCAGGTGAGAATCCCTTATCTCATTCTAGACAGGGTCTAGAAGTCTTGGGTAATCCCTAAATTACAGAGCCAGACCTTCTTGTAATTTCTCGAACTGACCTAAAGGAATAGTGCAACGGGCTTGTGGAAAGCTTTATGGATTTTGACTGGATATTTAAAATGTTACCTGCTGTTTAAGAATAGATCATAAGAAGGCCATTTAACATTTGTAACAAACTGCCAACAACAAAGTGCCTGAAGATCCATTTATATTCTAGACCTGCTTGACCTTGTTAGGTGGCTGCTGCCTCTCCAGTAGCCAGGATCTACCTTGAAAAGATCACTAGTTGAAATACATGTTGGGTTACTAATTTTATGGTTGAATGATTCAACCATAATCATTCAACCATATTATCAAACAATTAAAGCTCAAAACTGTCATAAAATGGGTTGATGGTGGTGAGGATGGATGCGGCAGGACCCAGGTAGAAGTGCAAAATAATTATTTTAATGGTGATCTCGAAGGGTACAAAAAGTCCAGGCAACACAGGTGAGCAATAAGGCAAGGAACTGAAACACTGGTAGCAACTGGAGCAGAACTAGACTACAAGGACAGAGACACGACATATGACAAACCATATCAAGGATCCGACAGGGAGCAGGGGACACAGCTGGGAACAATCAAGGGCAAAACACACAGCCACGGGGACTAAATTAACCCTAAAAAAAACAACACAGAAACCTACATCCTCACACAAACAGCCAACTGACCAATCCACCAACAAACAAGTAACTAACAAATGAGGAAAATGGACTATAAACTAACCAACGTAGCACTATCCTTCTTTACTATGCATGCTTGTTTATTTTTGGCAGGAGGAATACAATTTTGAGATTAACCAACCAAATAAAAATGACTGACCAACCATCAGAATAACAGAGCAACCAACCAACAACCCAGTATATCAACCAACCAGCTAACCAACCATCCAAACAATTAATACACTTTTTAAATAGGCTGTACAGAAAACTTGTAAAAAGTTGCCAAACTCCAAACAGAAACTTTGTGAAACTGACAATAGTTACTCAGATACTGAATAACTATTACTTTGCAGAAGAGTGTGTTTCCCAGAACCCTTGTATGTAGAAATGGGGTCCAACCAACCCCACACAGGTAAAACTTTTATCATTTGCCTCAGTCCTCGCACGCACAAGGGTTAAATTAAATGAGACGATTGGCAAGTTAAGGGATCGGCACAGAGTTCAACAACAGATTTCCCAGCACCGTAACTTATGGTCACACCACATTTACTTCCCATTCTTCGTTTTCTTCCTACAGCTGGGCTTGTCTCCTCTTCTGTTCTGTGACAGCGAAACAGCTGAGAAAAAAATGGAGGAAATAAATGTTGAGCTATCTCCAAAGGGAAACAACGGCTCGAGCGGTTCTAGACTCTGCACTGTCGAAAAAGATCCTCTTGGATTCGGCTTTCGTCTGGACTCTCTCCCACAGAGACGTGGGACTTTCATCAGTGAGGTGGGAACCAGTACTTTTGTACCTCTCAAGCACTTGGGCTCACAAGCGCAGACGAGTTTTGTAAGATTGACAATTCCTTTCTGCTGTAGGTGGGTTCTGGAGGTTCTGGACATAGAGCAGGACTGGCTGTGGGAGATGTTGTGTTGGAAGTTAATGGCAAAAATGTAGAAGAGAAATGTCTGGCTGATGTGATTGCTCTGGTGAAAAATGGAGGGAGCTGTATTTCTTTATTAGTTATGGACCGAACAAGCTATGACAAACAGAAAGAGAAAGAGAGACCAGCGTCTAATGTCACCGACAGCGAGGTAAGGGGATCATAAATCCTACAATGATCAATTCACAGTCATTATTGAGCACTACACTTACTATGCACTATTGTTTTATCATTTCTTATTTATTTTGGCAGGAGGGAGACGATTTTGAGATTTCATTTCTGTGAGCATGAACAATTTTGGAGACTTTACCCAGCACCATACATCTGTTTAAAGACTTTATAAAGAGAGCTGAAGATGACAAAAACTTTTGGTGTTGTCATGGCAAAGGGACATCTATCGCACCCCACGGATTCAACGCAAATCCAAACAAAACTGACAAGATAATCTCAACATGAATCAGTTTTAACAACATGGTATTTGTGATGGCACGAGAATGCCATTGTGTTCAGTATTATAGGTTAAGGAGAGTTTTGGCCTGATAAATTACCTCAATTTCATATAGCACAAGAATTGCTTCGCAGCAACCATCTGAGGAAACAAACACTTCACACGTTGGACAACAATTTATTAAAAGCGATTACAAAAGTAGTCAATATTTGAAATAACTCTGGGAAAGTTATATACCAGTATTTTCTGAGATTGTAGCAAATAAGGTGGTGGTGAGCACTGTAGTGTTTTTTTTACTCTGTTATTAAATGCATATGTCGTCAGCTTAGCTTGTGATATGTAACTGATATTGCAGATGCTGTTGTGTAAAATTACAATAAACAATTATATTCCTTCACCAAAGGTTCAACTATTTCAAAAACTATTATATTATTCTGATATTACATGTGTGTGTGTGTGTGTGTGTGTATATATATATTTTTTTTTTCACCACGTTTAACTACTTCCACCTTTTCAACGTCATCATTTGACTTTGGATCTGGTAAAATAATCTCTTGCCCGACTTCAGCGGTTGAAATCTGTAATCTTATCTCATCTTATCTCAGCTGAAGTTAAAAGTGCTAGTGTGTAATTTTTTTAATTTATTGTGAGCATAGAATCGAGAAGGTCAGAGATCTTTTCCAGCATTAGAAACTGATTTGGTGTTAACTTTTCATCACAGAGACTGTAACAGGGGTCAGTACCAGTTTTACAGGACCGATGTAGGCCCCTGATTAGAGATGCTCACATGTACTCAATTTACTTTAAAAGTTATTGGTGTGCTGTTATTTTTGTGTATCATTTTCATCCTTTTTTTTGTTTGTTTGTTTAAAACTTTTTTGTGCAAATTAAACCATGATTTAGTTTTGTGTGTGTGTATTGTTGAATTAGGTACTCCATTTAAACAGATTCAGAACGTACATATTTCTCGACTTGTGCAAAATGTTCAAGAATCACAAGGACAATTTTTTGTTTGTTTGTTTGTTTTTCACGTTGTGAATAATAGTGGAGACGTCATCAAAAGTAAATAAACATTTCAACAAGTCTTAAAAAAATTCAACTGAGCAATGAAACGTGTTACTACAGGTTTTTTTTTAAACAAGCCACCAATACTGGAAATGGAAAGAGGCCAAACACTGTAGGAACATTTTACGTCCAGAAGATGGCAGCAATGAGAGGTAAACGGTTTCTCTACAGGTGGCAGCGTGGTCAGCTGGAGTCTGGCGTTTCAACTGGAGGTGACATTCAGTGGCCTAGCCGAAACAGGGGATACTTAACGTCTACAAACGCCCCAACATGTCACAGATTGTGCAGAAACTGGTTGCTAAAGTACCTATTCTTGTTGATGGTGAGTTATTTTTGTTTCTGCAATTTAAATTTACTATAGGACGGATATAAGTTGTTCAATCTTCCTTAACAAGCCTTCAACGGATCAACGAGGGTGATGCTATGTTGACCTAGCCTTCAGATGAATGAAGTGGATGTCAGATTAAGTGTTTCTGTCTTATAATACAGTTATTGGATACTAATTTATCATTGCCCTTGTTGTTTTAACCCGTTAAATTGTGGTTTATCTGCATAATAAGTCCAGTTGTTTCCTTTTATTGAACAGAAGACAGTAAGCTGAACCGTTAATGTTGCCTAGCAACGCCGTGATTCAAACTACATCACGGTTAGAGGCCTGAGCTGACCGGGACGTATGTCTCTCCCTACAGCCGCTGTCACCTTTTCCAAACCTCATCTAGAAACCTTCTGGTATTATGCTCGGGTTGAACTGGTACCCCCGACCCCTCTCGAGCTCCCCAGAGCCGTTTTGGGAGCTGCAGGCCTGCTCAACATTTTCCGCCTCAATCGGATCACTGTCGGGGTGCGTAAGAACCATGGCAACAAACCTATTTAGGTGTCTTTATCGAGGCCGTAGCAAAATCTGCATGGGACGTCCATGTCGAAGCAGTTTCTTTTAAAGGAACGATACAACAGCTTTATTTTAGAATCTGATTAATCAAATGACATCTTCTTTGTCTGCTTTTTCTGTTTTTGTTGTTGTTGTTGTTGTTGTTTTTGCGCTGTTGCTTTTTAGTTTCTGTACATTCTTTACATTAATATTTTTAAGCCCAGCCAGTTCGACACAGAAAAAATACCCACAGCTGAAATCAGTTCATCCAGCTGAAGTCCCAGAATATGTTAATTAATGAAAATGTTAATGTCCTGAATTGGCACATGGGTCTGCAGTGGCTGGATTTTAGGACTTCATGCATTGTATTAAGAAAGAGAGCTATCTGACGGTCAATAACACTGAGATAATGGAGAGTGCACTGTTTCCAGAAGTTATTGTGCATTAAAGATAGAAAACAACATGTAGCTGGTTCTTTACAATGTTTTTTTTTTTGTTTTTTTTTACTGTCATTTCTAACTTTTACATTTTCCAAAAATATAAAAGTTAAATTGTGGTTACTTTTTGGAAAAAGTGAAAATATTCAAGTGGAGTATCTCTGTATTTTCTTCCCCCCCAGTCATTTCATCCTAAATAACACAACAAAACACCTACTAGCCATAATCATGTATAGTCGAACCTTAACTGCATGGCTGCCTTGTTTATAAATACAACTTTTGTGTTTCAGGAAGTTATGAGGAATGGAGTGGTGGCCACTGAAATTATGCTGTGGTTCTTCATCGGAGAGTGCTTTGGCAAACGCGGTCTGATTGGCTACAAAGTCTGATATTTTTGGACTGACCTTTATTTTTATTTTCACCCTTTTGAGCGTTCTATGCTCAACTTACTGTTCTAAGAACTAATAATCTGTTATCTACTGTTTGTTTCAAACTTGTTGCCTCTTGTGTTTATGGACATGCTTTAACGTAATTTGCTCACCAATTTACCTGTTGTTCTACTATAAAATCTTTGTTCCAAAATTAAAGAATATAAGAGTAAAAGTATGTTTATTTTATTTTATTTTTTTCCCTTTTGAGCGTTCTATGCTCAACTTACTGTTTTAGGAACTAATAAATTGTTATCTATTGTTGCCTCTTGTGTTTATGGACATGCTTTAATGTAATCTGCTCACCAATTTACCTGTTCTACTATAAAATCTTTGTTCCAAAATTAAAGAATATAAGAGTAATAACAGTTTAATTGATTTACAATTGGGATAATTCATAAAATTCTGTGTCAGATGTAAATATTGTTATGGATGCATTTATCATACAAGTTACTTTTGAAAATATAGTTATATGGAATAAAGATATAGCTTAGTCCCAAACTGGGCCATGAAACTGGACAATGATCACAGAAACATCAAATCTAAAGTATTATCTTTTTAACTCTTGATATTAAATTTAAGTATTTATAAAACCTGATAGATTATTTTTATTAGATCCTCATAAGGCTCAACAGTTAATAGTTTATTTTACTTTTACAGTGACTAGAGCCTTTACTTTGTTCTTTTTGCACATAACTAAGCAGTATAGAGAAACTTCCAAAACTTTGAAATCTGAAGCTATGATTGGATCCGTTACCGACTAAGCTTTACTTAATAAAAATATTATTTTAGTGCGCTTTCTTCTTCCGAGCAGCAGGGGGCGTTCGAAGTATTGCCAGACTTCAAGGGTCAGTCTTTAAAAGCGATTCAGTTTTAAGATCTTCTCCGAATGCTAATAAAGTAATACAACTCAGATTAGATGGTCAGATTAGAAAATTGGATTGGTCAGATTAGAAAAATTGGACAAAAAAAAAAAAATCAAACTTCTAAGCACATTTAAGTAAAAATACAAATTTTGACATTGCAAAATTCTAGAAGATACTCATTGTGCTCGAGTCCATTTAATTTTTAGCATTGTATGTATAGTATTTGACCTGCAATCACCAATAACACATCATGTATTTAGTTCTTCATTTAGAACCATCAATGACTTTTATTCATTTTTTTTTTTTACAAAAAGTTTTCTTCATATTAATTATATAATTATGCTGGAAAACTTACAGAAAATTAAATAGGAGTTAGTTCAAGTGAAAATAAACTTTCAGGGCTCTGAATCAATGCAAACATGATCAAATAACAGGGAACAAAAAATGAAATGACGATGAAGCACTCTTCTGAATGTACTAAAAGCATAAAACCAAAACAATTTTTACTATAGAACTCATGCGTTTGAGAAGAGTGAACATCAACATATAAAAAATAAAAATAAAAATCACACAATTATAAAATATGACAGGTCTCACATAGGTTTCGATTAAACAGCTGGAGCTGATTACGGTGTAAATTATGCGTAATAGATGTGAGGGAGAAACTATTTGCGGATTGTGTGTAATAAATGTCACCTTCCTGGTTATGTTTACTTTACTAGCACATTGTAAAGTTATATAAGCTGCTCCACATGTTGATTTTGCATTTCAATATTGATTCAGTAAGCCGTGTTTAAAATGTGATTTAACAGCCCAGTGTCAAATCTAATACATTAAGCGATGGTGTTGAGTTAAAAACAAACAAACAAACAAAAAAACACATCCTCCTTTAAACATAACTAGTAGAACTCCATTAATGTGGTTTTGCTATAATTATACATTCCTGTAAAAAATACACACTTCGATGCTGTATGCTAGATAAAACACAACGTGGATTTGTTCAGAGGGACGCTCAGACTTCAGAGTTCACTTGACGCTGCAGATCTTCACAGACGTTCCGACTCCGAAGCCCGGATAGACGGGCTCCACAAACGTGGTCTGAAACCTGTGCAGGAGCGTCATGGAGCTGCTGCCTATGCTGTAAAACGCCAGCACCCCCGCCGTGTGGTCCAGGTATACCCCTATCCTTGGTGAGTGCGGCCCGTTGACGGCTTTGTCCACCTGGTTGTGCCAGGCGGAGTATCCCGTGTCGGAGCAGAGGAGGCTCCAGGACTTGTCGTTGTATCCCAGCAGGCACAGCGAGCCCTTGCCCTTCCGGCTGATGCTCCGGTAGGCCACGCCAATGGAGAACTCCCCGCTCCACTCGATTTCCCAGTAGAAGCGACCGCCGGACAGTGCCTCGCGGCACAGCACCTGGGCGAAGCTGTCGAACCTCTCCGGGCTGTCGCTGTAGGGCTGCAGGTCTCTGGTGCGGATGACCTTCCTGCTGCCCTCGGAGATGTAGAGCTCTTTGTAGGCGGTGATGGGGTCCAGCTTCAGCTGGCAGAAGTCTGAATGAGGAGAGCCGACATTTTCAACAGATTCCTCATTGGAATCAGACTGGCAGCAAGATTCAGACACAAAAAAAATGTAAGAGGTTCTCACATTTGATAAAATCAGCTCTGGTCTTTGGCTCTGGAGGAGGAGTATTGTCCACCGTCATTTCTTTACCTGAGGACCAAAAAACACTGGTGAGTCACTCTGAGCGTCACACACCCACTCAAATGCCTCTGATGCTTTGCTGATGTGCTTTGATACCAATATAAACACAACAATGCACCTCCATTTTATGAGTGAAGTGCCTGTATCAACCCCTTAATCATTACTTGTTGAACCATTGTTTGCTCTCAGTACAACTGGAGGTCTTTTGGGGGTATGTCTCTACAAGCTTTGCATATAAAGTGAAAAATAGCTGAATCTCAGTCGGATCGGATCTGTAAACATTTTTATGTTTGGTAACAGATTATAAATTAGTTTTAAACCTCAATTTTGACTGGGTTTTCTGAAACATATTTGATCCAGGGGTGCGACGATCAATTGACCCAGATTTCCTTAATTTTGGAAGCTAAGTAGTTGGCCGATACTCACATGACAAACATTTGCTCTGACTGACTAGCTCAGTCAGAGCAAATGACTTTTAAATCTGCAGTATGTAACTCTTATAAACATATCTGTTTTTTTTACATATTTGTTAAAACTGTTACTATGTCGTGACATTATAGTATGAGACAGATAATCTAAAAAAAAATTTTGTTCCTCTGCCTTCTTCCAGTGCTCTCTACAGAAATACACAGCTACGTTAGAAACAACCAATCAGAGTTTTAGTGCCGTAAACTATGCTTGTATACGCGCTGCTCACATCCTCCTTTTTTCTGCCATGCTACAGCTTTCTTCCGACAGCAGAGCTTGGTGAATTCTCAGGCTAGTCAGCATGGCCACCATTGACGGCAGATAAACAGTTTTCCTGAAATGGTAAGTTGCTGCTTCACCATTAGCACATGTAGCAGCACATGCACGAGGTTGACTGACAGCGCTAAGACACTACACCTGACTCTGATTGGTTGTTTTTCACCAGGAGCGGTTCATTTCTTTAGACTGCAATCGTAGCACTGGGAGGAGGTCGAGAAGTTAAGTTTTTTTTTTTTTTTTTTTTTACAGATCATCATATTATAGTTAGTAGTTTCCAGGATGACGCTGCCACCACCATGTTTCATAAGAGGGAACACTGTGTTGAGGCTATCTTAGCTCCGTCCGACCAGAGGACCTTCCTTTGCATACTGGCTGCCTCCTTGGCATGGCTTGTGGCAAATTGCAAAGACAACTTCTTACAGCTTTCCTTCAACAAAGGCTTTCTTTTGTCGGAAGGCCTGATTTGTGCATGACTAACGGCTGCCATGGCGACAAATGCTCCAACATGAGCTGTGGATCTCTGCATTGCAAATGGAAACACATAAAATCCGAGTGGATTTGCGATGTGTGAAGTAGCTCAAAGGGAGTGGATATTTTTTTTCCAAAGTCTGTATGTTCATTTATGGAGCGCCAGTTGTGCAGTTTACGTGCTACAGCTCACAGACATGATAACATCAAACTAAATAATAATTAACCTATGACAGTGCTCACCTCTGCTTCTTCTGTCCAATGTCCGGCTCTCCGTCGTGTAGATCGGGACCTCATTCACTGTAAAAACAGCAAACTGGGTCTAAAAACACAGCTGTTTTCGGGTCTTGGTGTAAATGTTTCAGTCACTGAGATCCGACCTGTTTTGGAAATCTTGAGCAGCTCCTCCCTGCCGAATTCCTCGAGGCGGTCCTTGATCTCCGCCACAGCCTTCCTGACGGCGGCAAAGGAGAAGTCGGGGTTGACGGTCACCTTAGGAATGAAGCCGTCGTCGGTCGGCGTGCACAGGTAGTTAAAGTTCTGGTGGGAGGAGGAGGCAAGCGAGAACGTCTCAACCAATTCGCTCAGAGACCTCGGTCAAAATCTGGATAAAATAAATAAATAAAAAGCGGGTCGCACCTGCAGAAAATGGATGTGGTCTTCGGTGCTGTAGAGCTGCTTGAGGCCGGTCTCCTTCTTCTTGAGCTCGTCGATCTCCTGCTCCAGTCGCTCGATCAAAGCTTCGGCCTGGTTGAAAGCCGCCTTCTCGTTGATGCCGATCAGCTTGGTCACCTCCGACCTCATCCTCTCGATGGAGCGAATCATGTCCTCAAACATCTTCTGGCTCTCCACCATGGCCCTCTGGGCTGAGTTCTGCAAAGAAAAATAGTTTTCAGGTGAGATTTGGTCCAAACTGTAAAATTATTGTGCAAAAATAAAAGAAGAAGAAGTACACTCTACCTTAAGTGAATCCACAGCAGTCTTGAGTTCCTCCAGCTCCTTTACCCTTTCCTGGCATTTTTGCTTAATCTCAGCTTGGGAAACTCCCAACAGTTTCTGGAAAATAAAGGAGGATTACAAATTTATCCTCTATGCTACAGTTCTTTATAGGCACTCCCTCCCACTCTGATAACTGTGCACTATTATCCTCCTTTATTGCATCATGCAATGTTGCAGTAAAGAACTCAAAACAAGTGATATTAACTCAGATTGGGACAGATATCAGGAGTTCTTGCAGTGCGGCGGATAAAGGCTGGATCAGGACTGGCATTCTTTCTCATCAGAGAATATATCTGGGGAGGCCCTTTGGCAGGCCGGACAAAACCTCACTCAAAGAAGCTTCTTAACGCGGCCCGCTTTTATCTCAGAGGGAGGAGAGGGGAGAGAAAAAAAAAAGGTCTGTGGAGGAATTCCGGTCATGTCAGGAATGCGAAACTACGACTAAGGAGACGTTTCAAGGTGCACGTTGGTAGAATAGGAGGTTTCTAATTCAGCTTTTACTCAAACCCGCCGGCCCCATTCTCTCCAAGATAAGCTTGAGGAATGTGGGGAATCTAGGAAGGGCGGGGGATAACATAAGAAGACGGGGGGGCGGGAGGGTGAGAATCAGGTTGTAAATCTTTGCATGAGGGAAGCCAGACAGCCCGTGGTTGTAGATGTTGCAATTACTTCACCATGGGCTAAATATATATATATTCCCTGCCTGCTATTAAACCTCTCCTACTGTGTATCTGTCACACAGTGGAACATCTTCCCACTGCAGTATCTGCTGACAACTCTTATCTGCCCCACATTGTTTTACAGGCCGTGTCATCCCGTGAGTCATTGCGCTACTCAATGCCAAAGTGAGATTGAAGCGAGGTGTTGTCTGCCTTCACTCCCTGACATTCCAGTCCCGTCGCAGGCCCCACTCCCACAGGTGGGAACTGACTGTGCGAAAGGCAAGGCTACGGTTTCTGTGTGTTTATCCCTGGTTTTTAGGAAGGTGTGTGAGTGAATGAGTGAGTGAGTGTGTATGTGGGGTTGTGGTGAGAAGTTTAAGACACACCCCCCCTGGGCTAATCAGAGAGCTGGGTTTGTTTTGGCGGCCCTGAATGCCGGCCAGGGAAGCTGATAGCATTGGTGAAATGGGTCAAAGTCCAAGCAGCAATCCCAGGAGGCTGGGGTGAAAACGGAAAACATAATACCCTGCTTACTTTCACTCAAGAGAACACACAAAGTTTGACTTCATCAATCACCATGGAGCCGAACGAGACCACATCGAGCTTTCCACCAAAGCAGAACGTCCTACCTGCTTCTCGCCCCTCTCTGCCTCGGCGGACACGATGTCGTGGCCTCTGTGTTCGCTGACGGTGCAGATGGCACAGATGCACATCTGGTCCGTCCGGCAGAAGAGCTCCAGGGACTTCTGGTGCTGCGGGCAGATCTTCCTGTCCAGGTTCCCCAGCTCGTCCACCAGCTTGTGCCTCTTGAACATGGCTGACTCGTAGTGCGGCCTCAGGTGCTTCTCGCAGTACGACGCCAGGCAATTCAGGCACGACTTGACTGCTTTGAGTTTCTTCCCTGTGCAGAAGTCGCAGGGCACGTCGTTGGTCCCCGCGTAGACATTCGCCTGCGACGCGCTCAGGTTGACGTTCAGGCCGCTCTTCTTGATCTTCTCGGCCACCATGGAGAGGGTGGCATTGGGTCGCAGCACGGGCCTCTGGGTGAATGTGATCTTGCATTGGGGACAGATGTAGATCCCGGTGTAGTCCGCTTCGTTCCAGTAGCCATCGATGCAGTCCATGCAGAAGCTGTGGCCGCAGGGGATGGCCACAGGGTCCCTGAGGAGACTCTGACACAGGGAGCAGCTGAAATAATCAGGAGACGTGTGGTCGGCCATAGTGACGGTGCTCCAAAGCCGGTCAGACCTGTAGAAAACAGACGGAGAGAGTGCCAGAAGTGGATAGAGCGTTCGCTGAGTGTGCGAGAGAGCCCGCCCTCAACGGTGTGGTACAGCCTGCCAGGGACAGGATCTACTTGTATTTCTAAATTCCAGAGGTTATTGATTGAAAGCAGGCGAGGCCCCTCCCCCCCTCTGCCGTGAGTACATGGAGCCCTGCCCAGCTCAGATAAGAAAGTTGAGCAAGATGCGAGCGAGAGGGAAAAAAAAACAAACAAAGTGGAGATGAGAGCAATGGAAGGAGAATGAATGAAATGCGAAAAACAAAATCTGCCACATTTAGTCGGGGAGGGGAAGGAAAACGTTTCCTTTCTCCCAGCAGCTTCCTCTCTTCCCAAATTCCTCATGAGGCTCATCTGTGGCTGTGTTGCGCACACACGTCCCGGCAGCTGCATTTCCACCTATTGTTGTCACACAGAATCGCCATTGTCTTACACCGGTTACAGTTCGACAAACATTAAAGCAGCCTGAGGTACTGTAGAAATTTCAGGGAGGCTGGTGGCCGGGGGGGAACCACCCAATAAACAAACACAGACACTCTGAGCTCAAACGACCCAACAAGAATCTTTCAGAAAAATAATTGCTACTCTCGTTTTTTTTTTTTTTAAACCGGGGTAGCAATTATTTTAAAAAAAAAGAAGAAAAGTCATGTAACTTGCTATGAAATTCAGAGTTGGAATATTTACACTGCGACCGGTCTGACCTGTCTGGTCGCTCCGCGGAGCCAAGTATGACTGTAGAGGTGTGTGTATGTGTGTGTGTGTGTGTGTGTGTGTGTGTGTGTGTGTGTGTGTGTGTATGTGTATGTGTGTGTGTGTGTGTGTGTGGTATATGCTGGGCAGCAGAAAGAGAAACAGTTATGCTTGACGTGGACAATGGAAACATGCAGGTATGATTACACACACACAATTACACAACACAAACAGCATTCCTGTCACATCCAGGTGTGTTGCAATGGATGGTTTCTGTGTTACGCTGCCCGTTTCATTCAGGTTATGTCACATGTTCTGCAGTTAAAAAAAAAGTTCCTGTCACCCTGACTCACATTTTATTATTTAACACAAGATGGTGGTAAAAATCCACCTGGAGACCCTGATTTTGAGCGAGAGGTGTCTGATGACATTTCCTTAGTATTTCACAAAAAGTCTAATCTATTAGCCTTCCCCTCATGCTGATATGCTATTAAGTGTTTACTCTCACACCATTAATGCACAACAGAAACAGATTCAATTAGTTTTTGTTTTTTTTAAAGGTATATCAAATTTTCTCACTGACTCGGAGCGATCCAAAACTCTAATATGGATTCAACCGAGTAAAAATCGCCTCCTCACCACTCAAATGTTGCTTTATGTCATCCACTTGGTAGTTTCACCTCTCCATATTTGGCCAGGTTTCTGATAAGCCAGTTTTCCTTCCTTCCTCACGAGGAAACCAAACAGTCTGTGCTCACAGATTGAACAGCCTGTCTGTGGAGGGAACTGCTTCAGGTCCATAGCGTGTTTAAAAGAAACGCGGCCTCTTCAAGAACATGCAGCTGAAACAAGATGATTATGAAAAATGCACAACACCTTTTTGACACTAGATGTGTCATGTTTTAGATTACAAAGAATTATTTCTATCGATTAAATGCCAGAATGATGAGATATATATTTTTAAGAGAATATTTAAAACATTTATTTAAATTCAGAAGTTTGCATTTTTTTCCCCTCCTTACTACGTGTCAGAAATGCCTTTGCATTGCATTACTTCTATCAAACAGTTTTGGTTTCTTTTCACAAGATCCTCACAATAGCTTGCAGGAATTTTTTTGTGGCCCATTCCTTCTGACAGAACCGGTGGAACTGGGTGAGGTTTGTAGTCCACCTCGCTCACGGACACACCTTTTCAGCTCTTCCCACAAATTTTCTAAGGGTCTGTAAGGGCTGAGTATACTTGCACATAGTTTTATGATCAGATGAACGCAGCACTTTCAGGGAATTTGTGCCAGACTTGTGGACGTCCACAACTCTTGTTTTAATATCTTTGTAGATTTATCTCTCAAGTATGCGTAATGTTTGAGCTGTTGCCTAAAAATACATTCAAAAGTGATCCTCTAACTCGTATTAGGACCTCGCCTGAATCCTTTTCAGTTTTTACACGTGTATCGAAAACCAAAAAGGGTGCCATCTGTTTTCAGTTTTTCTTGCTCGTCCTCCGTAAATTGTATCCCTTTTCTTCCCCTTTGATCAAACACTGTTTGTCCTCCCCTGCACTCGCTCTGCTGCAGAAGACGTACGCCCAGGCCGCCACTGACCTTGGACTGAACTCAAGTTAAATGGAAACTTTCTGCTTCCTTCAACAAAAAAGCATGAGTATGCTACTTTTGTCAAAGAGCGACTACATCCTTTATCTTTATATTGTATATTTATTACGAGAATTGTATTATTTAGTAAATAGCAAAAAAAATGAGACAAGTTCGGAAGTTTAAACAGTTTGGAACTGCTTGGAACGGGGTTTTACGTCTTATTTTGGCTAATTCACAACATTTAAGTGAGTGAGGAAACTGGACCAAACCCAAAGCAGCACTTCCATATTCCCAAATTCAGGATTGACGTCTAATACGTAGAAGCAAAGACGTGGAGTAAGTGAAAAATACTTAGTGTTGGTCTTTCTGCATCTGAAATGGATTACGACATGATATATGGATTCTGATTTGGTCAGATATTCAGCGGCCAGAGTGAAAACTTCAAAGGAAGGCCACCTCCGAGCTTTTGTCCGAAAACAACTGAAGGGAAGCGTGTTCTGGGACACACCCATGTCAGCACAGAGAAGACCTTATGTAAGGAAGTCATTTGCTTCTTTTTATCTCAGAGAAACATTTTTCTTGTCTTAAAATATTTCTGTTTGATACGACTAAGACAAAATGTCCAAAAGATGAGATAAAATACTTGGCATGGCTAAGATATCTCTCATGAGGAAATCGCAGCGAGGCTTTTTTTTCTTTTTTCCTCCCTACTCTGTAAAAATTTATTATTATTATTTATTTATTTTTTTTTATGAGAACAAAGTCCACATTTTGGTTGAAAATTGCTGAGCGAAGGACAAACCGAAAACATATTAGGTGTGAATATTTGGATCAGGGAGTGTCTCGGTGAGAAAAAAAACAACATTTTGCTCAGAAACTCAGGGTCATCCAAACCAAATAACGCTGCAGAACAATAACATCCTCCACTCCTACTGGCACTCCCTGACTGAGTGCAGCTGATCTGTGTGAGATGTCAGAGCTAACTTGTGTTAACGTCATGCATTGAAAGTTAATTTGCAATCAGCAAATGTAGCTCAACTAATTTACACATGAAATGTATGCAATCCCAACAGACTACTAACTGCTGCCATGAAGCCTAAACTCAGACTAAATTGTGCTACCGCCTTACAAAGCTAATATTTATCAGGGGTTAGTTATGTAAAACATAATCAGGCCAAACAAATTAACATTTACAAATTACAGAATTGAATTTCACGAAAAAACAAATTAATGTTCACCATTAATCCCAATTATAGAGATGAATTCCCAGTGAAATAATCGGCTCCGTTTGGTTTTAGATGTCAGCTGCGGTTCCTGTTTGACACACAACAGACCCTATATAATGCTTGGCACTCTGCTCAGGCCCCGCCGGCCCAAACACAATGGAATCTTTTAAGCAAGCTTTCCTTGGCCTCCTGTTATCTGGGCTATCAAGTGTAGTTGCATTCCTTGCTCCATCTCAACGGCACTGAAACTCCATCTTGGCTGGGAGGTGTGCTCACTCTGTGAGATGAATTATATACACATGAGTTTTTAACATGCAGAAGCAGGGCTTTTTTTTATTTTTTGATTTACACTTATCTTGGATTTTAATTGCTTCAACCAAAAAGGAAAATCAAGCTTAAGAGGTGAATAGTAGAAACCAGGGGGCTTCCTGTCAAGGGAAATCAGTACTGAAAGAGTTGATGATTAACTGGCTTCAGACGGGGTGAAGGTCAGCATCACACTGACTGAAGAAGACAACAGTACCTTCTAAAGGTATTCATGTCAGCTATTTCTGAAATCTTGACTACATTTGATCTGGGTTTTATGTGACAGATGAACATAAAGTAGCGCATGTAGGGAGTGGAAGCAAAATCTTCCATAGGTTTTAAGCGTTTTTGTAAATCAAAATCGGACTAGCTTGGCTTGCCAGGAATCCTGTGTTATCTTCCATTCACTTCACAGATATGCACTGCTTTGTGGGAATCCATCACTCAAAATCCCCCTAAAATACATAGAGGTTCAATGATAAAACATGACGAAATGGGCAGAAGTTCTAGCTTTCGTAATATACATGCTAGTTGTGATTGTGCTAACAGCTAGTATTGCTAACAGCTACATGAAACCCAACGTAACCATGCTCCAGTCCTAAAACAAACTGGGATTTTCTATTTGATGTCCTCAGTAGCAACGCAAACTGCAATTACTGTATTTTTCGGACTATAATCCTCTACTTTTTTCCCCACGCTTTGAACCATGCGGCTATAGCCCGGTGTGGTTTTTCTGTGGATTTTTCTTCAACCACCAGGGGGCACTTTAGCAGGAAATGAATCATTGGAAGTCAACATTGGAAATCAAAGAAGAACGCGCTCGTTTTCATTTAGAACAAGCACATGCTAACAGCAGGCATGACGGAGAAATTTCTTCAAACACATACCCCCTCATCATGGAAACAACACGAAGAAGTTCATATGATGCAGCTTTTAAATTGAAGGCCATCGATCTGGCAGTAGAGATCGATAGCTGCTGCACGAAAACTCGGCGTTTGAGACGGAGGGCTGCGTCCTTGTGGAAAACTGAGAGCGGCGGAGATACCAGCGGCTTATAGCCCAGTGCGGCTTATATATGTACGTTTCCAGTTTTTAAAACAACTTTATGGGGGCGGCTTATAGTGAGGAGCGCATTATAGTCCGGAAAATACA